GGCACAATCCTGGTAGGACTTGTATTTCTCCATGTAGAGTCCTCCTAGGATTCATATTCTTAAGGATAATCTTATCCTTTCACACCCTCCCCCACTGCTTAAACCAAGTGGGATGGTTTTCTCCATAGCCGAACTACCACACGACCGAAATAACACTGGCTATGCTGAGCCACAGAGAAGGCCGAACTATCCTTAGCTCGATCTTCTCCTTTAACTCATTACTTCGGCTGCCCCTGTTCAACCTTGGTGTGCTTAGATCAAACTTCCAAGTAACAAGTTCTGATCGACCTAACCATTGTAAGTCACGACCGGACTAATTCCGACACCGGCCTTCCCAGAACATACTGCGACCGGACTAACTCTGAAACCGGTCTCCCCAGAACATACTGCGACCGGACTAACTCTAAGACCGGCCCTACTCCGAGTTGTCTCTGGACCGGAGTAGCCTTACTCTTCCTTGGGCCGAAGCAACTATCTCTTCTTGAGCCGGAATAAACTCACCTCCTTGGGCCGAAGTAACTTTGTCTCCCCAAGGCCGGAGTAACCTTGCCCTCTAGGCCGGAGTATTCAGTACGGCCTTTTTACGTAGTCCTTCGCGTTTTGGGCCTCAATGCCCAACTCTCAGCTCGGCCCAATTTTTCCCAAAAATTACCCTCTCAATTGCGTATGGTTTAGTTTTAAAATTATAATTTAAAAATGAAGATATATTTTGAATTTGTGAATTTTTGAATTATGATTTGAAAAGAGAAAATTTGTTTGGTTATGAGTTTTGAAATGAAAAAAAGTTGTTTGATTATGAATTTTAAAAGAGTTTCAAAACTTAATAATCAAATACATAACTCAAAACTCTATTAAAAATTTTATTCAAAATTCATAACTAAACTTTTTTTAAAATTCAATTCAAAAAATAATTATTGAAAAAAATATTTTTTTTATTTAAAAATTTTAAAAAATTCCAAAAAATTTTATTTAAAATATTAAAAAATATATATTATTTTTTGTTAAAAAAAATATTCAGCTAGTGTTTTAAAATTACTTTTGATTGTATATTTTGTTGGATTTTTTTAATTGTTTTGTTTAAAAATGATTTTTTTATTTTTTAAAAATTACTCTGGCAAATTATTTTTTATTTAATTTTTTTTGGTTAATTTTAAATAAATGGCTAAATAATTTGTCATTTTGGTCTAAAAAAAATAATTTCTACATTTAAAAAATATAAAAAACAAATATGTATATTTTTTATTTTCAAATAACAGGTGTCAATTGCCCAAAAAAAAAAAACACTGTTCTAGTCAACCGGTTGGATATCCAGAAGGATGTCCGGACGAACGACCAAGTAGACCCAATTTGCTCTTTTCAAAATTCAAAATTCAAAAACTCTCTCATCTGCCAAACATGTTCTGAAATAAGTGTTTAAATGTGACATTGAAATTAATTTTTAAAAATTTAAACCAAACAAAACATTAAAACATAAGGCTGGAATCATATTTCTAAAGTTAAACCTCAGAGGGCCTTAATATCTAGTTTTTTATCTTATTATATTCAATAGATATAATTGGGGTCGCATGAGGTGGGACAAGGAAGGAAAACTTGTGCAAGGCAAGACGGGAGCATAGAGAAAAAATGTCATTTTAATTCCAAGTTCATCTCATCAGTAAATGTCACTAGTTTACTAACCTCCACCAAGTCCACTTTTGAGTGTTTTTTTTTTTATATACAACTCTTACATGTAACAAAACTTGAAATAGTAGGGATTAAATGAGCATAGTCAAGTTGAGTAAAGACTTAAAAGAATTTCAAAATAGGTTTAATTTGTTTATCTTTCAAGCTAAGAAGGAGTGCAATTAATTTTTTTTTTTTTATTTTTTTATTTTTTATTTTTTTTTATTTTTTAAACCCAACTCAAGCACATAGCTCCGCATGTTGATCGGATTTCAAATAGGCACTAATTAGTGCTCCTAAACATTTTTCTTTTTTTTATACAACTCTTACATGTAACAAAACTTGAAATAGTAGGGATTAAATGAGCATACTCAAGTTGAGTAAAGACTTAAAAGAATTTCAAAATATGTTTAATTTGTTTATCTTTCAAGCTAAGAAGGAGTGCAATTGAATTTTTTTTATTTATTTTTTTATTTTTTATTTTTTTTTATTTTTTAAACCCAACTCAAGCACATAGCTCCGCATGTTGATCGGATTTCAAATAGGGGTTGCACTTGGATTGAGCGTAAGGTTTTCAGCTTAGCCTGGTCCAATCCAGCCTGGCCCACAAGTCTGAAAGAAAATATGAAAAAATAAGCAAAAAAATAAGACTAATCTCGACTTGTTAAACTAAACCTAGCTGTGACCCGTGAGAAGTGACTTGTTAGTTTGCTGGCAATCCTAAGGCAAGGCTTGGGCCTAACCCGTAGGGTTCAACTAGCTTCAACTAATAAAAAAAAGTCTCTCGACGAGTTTGGACATCACTTTTTAAAACTATCATAACATGATGTCAGTTATTAGTCTCAAAACAAAATATTTATTTACATGGTGTTTCAAATCTATCACAAAATAAAATATATTACCAATATAATATGTTAACTTATTTTTGTTAAATAATTAAGAGATAAATAATAATTTACTTTGTATGTATTTTATGATTTCTCATTAATAATATTACATGTAACTCCAAAATTATCGTGTGGAGAGGTCTTGTAGCGAGAAAGAATCACAACCATTGAACAAAAAGAATGAACTCATTTTCCTATCGAAAAATGATGCAGACCACTAATTAGTGGTTGCACTAGGGATGTGGCAGTGGGTCCCACCCACTGCCACATGTGTTTTGTGTCTTAGTTTTTTGTTTTCATTTTTTTTTGGCTTGCCACATCATTAGTGGTGATGTTAGTGGTGATGTTTTAGTGGTCTGTATCATTATTATTTTCCTATCATACAAATGGACCCCTCAATCAATTGAATGGCTTACGCAAAGATTTGGAAAATGAGCATGGCTGACGAGCCTGCTCAGGTGATTATCACTCCACTAACCAAGTTAACAAGAAAGGGAAAAAGAGGCAAAAGCAGGGCAGAGATGTGAAATTATTAGTACCACCCATACAGGGTTCAAGGAGGACCCCCCTTTATATAGGAGGAAAAAAATTGAACCATGCAAAAGGAAAAAGGTGGTGGTTATGCAGACACACCCTTATGATGATTATCAATCCTCTCTCTCTCTCCCCTTTTACAGCTTAAATGGCGCCAGCAACAACTTTGAGGTTCACACAGGTGGGGTGGGGGGAACCATTTTCTACTAAAGATAGGATGGGGGCCAATTTGCTGTCATGAGCATCAACACAAACACAGATAAAAGAATGGTCACATGGGTAAGCAAGATTAGCTGTATACAACACATATCCTCAAATTTTAGAGGTCGGAATATCTTTCCTTTTAGGTCATTTACATTTACTACTACAATTCCCATTGTGCCTTCTCTCTCATGTGTTAAACATAATGGATGCAGATTACTACATATTGAGGAAAATATACAGGACTGTGTCTCTTGTATGTGACCAAAAGGAAAAATACAAAGAAGTACTTGAAAATAAACTCACCCTAAGTGCCAAAGCACTGTTCATAAGGTATTTTAAAAGAATAAGCTAAAACTAATGCTGCAGCTTTGATTTCTAACAACCCATGCTCTCAAACAGTCTGATTTGTGTTTTGCAAAAATGCCAACCCCAAAAACATTCAACATTAGAACAATGTGCATTGTACTATTGAAATGATATATATATATATATATTTTCCAACACAACATTCAATCAACTCCCCCCCAGTAGTGTCAAGTGTTTCAACTTCGCAGTCAATAAAATATTCAAAAGAGAGAAATCTAAATTACCCAATATAAAAATTTGACCACCATTGGTGTCTCATCATGGCACATGGTCTGTCTGCAAATGCTCTTCTAGAATAAATTCATTTTTCAAAGTCACTCGTAAGGTAGGAACTAGGGAGGATTTGATCAAACTTTTTCGTTCGAAATGTCTCCACAGAAGGCACATGATGCAAAATGCAGTCTCGAACTTAAAATAGAAAAAGATCATTAAAAAAAAATTAAAACCACTATGTATGAATTACAAGTTTCAACAAAATTGTCGTGATCTTTGTCCATGAAAGAGAAGCCATGTGAGCTATGAAGTACGGATACTTCAAATAGGGTGACGTATCCGTATCGTATTTGTATCGGATACCGATATTCCTTGGATACTCGCGGACACATATCGGATACTTAATTTTGAAGTATCGGATACTTCAAGTCATGTTTACTTGTTTTAAGAAATTAGAATTGTAACATTTCTTGCATAGTAATATAATATAATATAATTGCAAGTATAAATATAAAAATATTTTTCTAATACTGTGTTAAGTTCTTCGATAAGAAGAGTATAGTGAGTTAAATAATAGAATTTATCAAACTGATGTATCCTAATTATTTCATGCATGTCCCCTATAACTACATAGAAAGTAAGAATTAACAAGAGAATATAACAATGGTAAAATTAATTATCAATAAATAAATAAGCAAGTAAACTTGAATACAATATTTTTTACTAGTGTCAAAGGAAAAAGCATAAGGACAAATTGTGAATTGTTCTATAATTATAATATAAATATATTAAACTTGATCTTGAAATGAAATATTTGCAAAACCTATTAAAAATTTAAGAAGTAAACAAGCTACTAGCTTAAATTAATACAAAATTCTTAAAAATTAATATTTTGCATTATAAAATTACATTATGATTTCTCAACGTTCTTTAGTTTATGTGTAACTCACTATTAATAATTTAAAAAAAAAATATTTTTCACAAACGTATCCTAGCCGTACCGGTATCCTATTTGTTTAGGTTTTGTTGTATCGCCGTATCCGTATCGTGTCGTATCCGTATCCGTATCTCGTATCCGTATCTATGCTTCCTAGCATGTGAGGTAAGGTGCAGTCTGCATTTTAAACGGAAACCTTTCCAACTAAAGAAAATGTTTTATATTGATCAAGCAAAAGGAAGAGCACAATGGCAATACAATTATCGCATGGTGGGAAATTGACTTAAGGAATAGAAACACCGAGAATTCCATGGGTTAATGTTCAACGCTAGTGATAATGATTGGCAACAATCATAGCAGGACCCCAGAATGTTGAAAAGCATAACCCGAATTGGATTTTCCACTAGAATACATAAAATCAGGTTTACCGCCTTTGCGAAGCTTGTGACTCCTTTAAACCTGAAGCTCTAAATTGGATAGTCGCAGCACAAGCAGCTTCTATATCTACACCCCATTCATCACTGAGTCAGCATGGCCATTGTTGCCATCTTCCAAGATCTTACCATTCACTGGAGTTCTCAGCCTCTGGAGAAAAAAACCAGTAAACAATATTGGTGCCATACTCAATAACAGAAGAAAATTTTAAACAATAAAATAAAATAGAAAATTATTAATTCATTATACCCAATCTACTGGATCTCCAGAATTCCCATTTAACAGCTTGTGATTCTCTTCTTTTGTCCGGCCATCCTTGCTTAGCGGTAGCAACAATGCTGCACCTCCAGTGCGGTCAGGCATTTCTGCATTAAGACAACTCAATGTCAACACTAAGTTTAAAATGCAGGGGTGAAACTAAAGCAAACGATTGAGATGTGGAAAAAGTCATATTGAATGCTAACCTGGCAACTTATGGTCGATAAAGAACACCACCAAATTAACAGTATACCTACAACAAAATCATATCGCTAAACTTAGTCACAGAAATATCAGAAACACGTTGGTTCATAGATATAAACGTAAATTGAATTCATATTGCTATACCATGCCACGACAACATCAACGGTGTAATGTTTGCGGGATGCAATAATCAAAAAGCTCTGGAGCACAACAGTTAACCAAGCACACTGCTTAATGAACCTGCATACAAAAATTACATCAGGAAAAAAAAATTATTAAAATAAAAAAAAAACACACACACACACACACCTAGGAGAAAGGGTTGGAGCACAACACTTCATTTGAGGAAACAACAAATATCTGTCCTAAAATCGTAGAAGGGCTGAACTATCTCAAAATTTTCATTCAATTCTCACCTCCGTGTGCCATATTTCTGGTATGTGCGCACAAAAACTAAAGAGAAGATCATGTGCGATGAAAATATCAAATCACCACAACCATATAATACACCGCGAACTGCACATCAAAAAAAAAAAACAAAAACAAATGACCACGGAAAATATTTGAAAGAAGTAAGCCAAAGAAAAAGGGAAAGTTAAACCAACAGTAACGCACAATTCATGAAAAGCACTTCATGTACACTATCTGGACGGGGTAGTGTGGCAAGCTTTGAACCCTGTAAAAAGAATAAGTACCAGATTGTAATGCAAGCCTACTCACAAAATAAGACAATATTTCTCCACTATCGATAAATATCATGAAATGGACAATTTTGAATTACAACAAAAAACTGTAACACATCATGGACTACTACAATAGAAAATGGGGTAAAATTGTTGATTTTACCTCACGACAATGATAGTTTGGACCAGGAAGCTGAGTAGAATAAAATGTTATGACCCGAAGAATTTGACAAGCCTGTAGTGAAATTTTTGAAGAGAAACTGTCAAAAGAATGCTTTGGAATTGCCTCCATTACTCAATAGGTTGATGTGTTTCAATCAGAGCCAATAGACAGTTAATACAACCCGACTCGCCTTCCCAATATACACATTAAAATAATCTATCAATATAAATTTTTAATTTCACCTAAAACAAAATTTGTCCCAGGAGGCAAGCTAAATACATTGGGTCATAATTTCCAGTCATTGTCTATTGTTAGTTAAGATTACAAAATGTTTAATTTCTACCAAAACAAAGTAATATATTTACAATTATGCAGAGAAATAACACAAAAAATGTGCATGTACATTGCCAGACCATAAAAATCTCGAAAGTTCAGAATAATTATGTTAATTTGCTATTAAAAATTATTCAAAATCTCATAATACATATATACACACAGTAGTTGATAGAGGATCACGGTTAAGATTGCTTCTTCATAAATTGGCTTAAAATATACAAATCAAAACCTACCCTACAGACAGTAGTTTGACATGATGGTATGTTCACTATGTTATGAACCTTCTGGTGTTTTTACATGACCTACGTAAGAATGAATCAGCAAGAAAGAACAACCACTTACAACTAAAAATGCCAGAACCCTGCACCACACTAGAACGGTGTAGACTTTTTTGCTCTTCAAAATGAATGGATGAAAAGTCCACTGCACCAGAACATAACACATGAGAAAATTGAAAGACTGTAAACCTAAATGAACAAGGAAAAAAGATTAAGCAAAAACAATATGAAACTTACCAAGAAAAAGGATAGAAAGATGAAGGTGAATACGGTCTCACTGATGTAACCTTTATCTAGCCCAAGCTCCTTTAGTCACAGAAGTCCAGATATAAGAAAGATGACCCAATATATACAATGCACTTCACAAATGAAAAATCAAACCAAACCAAGCTTTGTGTCTCAATTAATAAACAAAGAAAGAAGGAAAAAAATACAGACCGGAAGAAGAAAGAATCCGACATCCTGAAGAATTGGTCCAGGCCGATGAAAATAATGAACTCCTCGAGCAGCCAGCCCATGGATGTACTGAAGAAACAAGAGAAATTAATTTCACATCTTGGGCTTCTGAAACAACATAGCATATGGGAAAACAGAACACAAAATAGGAAAAACAATTTATATCTTACGAAAATGCATTGACATGAATGGTGAAACACAGTCACTACTAAAATTACATGATGAAAAGCTGAGGAATTTTTTTGAAAAAAAGAAAAAAAAAAAAGAAGTAATAATGTTTTTCCAGACAAAAACACAAATGTCTTTTTGAATTAAATGTTTCCACAGCTCTTACTTTCACATTCAAAAGAAGAATATAGGGATAAAAGCCTTGCAAAACTCTAAACTTTTACAACAAATTTTTGCATTATTCACCAAGATACTACATTGGTTAAAAAATAAAGAGACAAATCATAAATCAAATTTTTTTTAAAACATTTGGCCCGCCTCGTTGACCAACTCCAAATCTATAATCTATCCAGACCCAATAATAAACATGAAAACACAAAGCAAGCCCATAAAGAAACCTCCAACAATATTAGCAAAAGATTTAAAAATTAAAAACCCATTTCAGACACATTCCCAGAAATTCGTTCAAAAAAAAAAAGAAGACACATATCCAGAAATTCTAATCCAATATTTTTTTTTTAAAAAAAAAATTAAAATTAAAAACCATTTTCATGGCCGAGTCTAAACACACCGAGCAAAAACAAACATTTTTCATAAAAGAACTACAATAGAAATTAATAGAGGGAAGGACATTGATTTAAACCTGACAGATTATCCCCGCTAGAAGATACTTCCAATTCTCGGCAAGAAGATTGAGTTCTGTTATAATTTCTGCGCAAAATCTCTTCCATAGCTTCTCACAAAAACAACAAACAAACCCAATCAAAACCCAGAAAAAGCATAAACAAAAGCAAACCAATTCCAAAAAAAAAAAAAAAAAACCTTGCTTTAAACAAAAGAGGATTAAAAGACGAACCTTTGAAGCCTCGCGACCAATGTAAAGCGACATTTTCTCTGCGTGTGAGGACCAGTGCCATATTACATCACAACCCAACAGTTAAGGTCACCATCATTCATCACAAATCTCTCAATTCCAATAAAAATCGAATCGTTTTCACAAATTTTTGCACAAGTGGGATCGAGAAAAGATCCAGCAATGCGACCTAACCACCAGGATCGAGAATATTGACAAGAACAATGAGGAATCTGAGATTGCTCTTGAAAATCGAATCCCCTCTTCAATGGCGATATTCAATGAATCTTTCTCTCTCTGTATCTCCAAACTTTCTCGCTCTAGAAGAATTAGTATGATGATGACGATTTTGGGTTTCTCTCTCTACCTTGTTGTTTGAACACCGAGCGACAGTTGAGAGAGAGAGAGAAGGGGGGCTTTAAAACAAAGATCGCCGCTACGAAACCCCTCCTGCGTGAAGAGGAGGAAAGAGGAAATTAGTTTTGAAAAAAAGAGACTTTGTCCTCAAATATTTTTGATTTTTTTTATTGAAGCTTCTATACAGGTGTGGATGATTTGGTAAATTTCAAATCATTTGATGGAGGACGGGATGATAATCTGATTTGCTATTTAAAATTAAATTGATTATGGAATAATTAAATTTGTTTGATAATTATAATTGATATTATTTAAAAATTTAATTAACACTTAAAATGTAAATTGAAACTTGAAAAAAATTTAAATCATATAAAACTTACTTAATTCTGACGGAATTTATAAATATTATATATAAATATTAATATACACTATTATAAATTCATTTTCATCATTGCTACTATCACTACTATTACCCCCACCAATATATCACTGCGACAACTACCACCATGCTATCGCCATCACCATCGCTATCATTACCCACCACCATCACAACCATTACCACTACCATTACAACCACTACCATTATGTTACTATCACTACCATCACTATTACTAACACCACCAATATGCCACCGCTACCACTATCGTCGTCACCGCTGCCATCACCGCCACCATTATTACCATCATTTTCATCACCATCGTCATTATTACCATGAACATCACTATCATTTTACTGCTACTATTATCGCTACCGCCACCATTATACCACCGCCACCACTATCATCACCACAACCACTAGCATGCCACTCCATCACCACCATCACAATATAAAAATTACAATATATATTTTAAAAATAATAAATTTTAAATTTTATCTCCCACGTATCAAACAACTTATTTTTACTTTAACACTTAAATTTTTATCAAATAACTTTCAACTTAAAAAATGTAGCATTCAATTTTCAATACTTAATTTTCAGTCTTCTGTTTTCAGTTTTCAGATTTATCAAACATCAATTTACCTTATTTATACTTGGTTATTTTTACTTATTTTGTTGTTTAAAAATATTTTATTATATATGAGAGTGTTTAGCAAAAGCTATTTTTTGGCTTTTTGAATTAAAATCTATAAAAAAAAATAAAATAAGTTAAAATAGTCAGGTGTCGTTTGGGAAGAGCTCATTTGGGCTCTTTGAGCCACAAAAGATAGAATAGGCTATTTGAGCCACAATAGACAAAACATCACATCCAATCCATAATTATTACACTCTTCTCTCACAAAAAAAATTCAAAAAAGCCAAAAAGTTAAAAAGTCCTTCCAAAACCAAACTTTTGAGCCCAGGCTCAAATAGCCAAAAAAACCAAAAAGTCAAAAAGCCAACCCACTTCCCAAACGGAGGCTCAATAAGACAAAAACTTGGCTAAAAGCCACTTTTTTTGGTTAGTAGCAAAAGTCAAAAGTTGACTTTTTTGGCTTTTTTTTCATTTGGCAAGTTGGTTTTTAGCCAACGGTGCAATTACAATTTTACCCCTCATGGGTCACAATGGTGTCGTTTGGGAAGAGCTCATTTGGGCTCTTTTGGCTCTTTGAGTCACAAAAGACAGAATAGGCTATTTGAGCCACAATAGACAAAACATCACATCTAATCCATAATCATTACACTCTTCTCTCACAAAAAAAATTCAAAAAAGCCAAAAAGTTAAAAAGTCCTTCCCAAACCAAACTTTTGAGCCCAGGCTCAAATAGCCAAAAAAACCAAAAAGTCAAAAAGCCAACCCACTTCCCAAACGGAGGTTCAATAAGACAAAGTGTTACATTAAATCTATTTTTCTCTCACAAACATCATATCCAATTACAAAAAAAATCTAACTATCTTTCCAAATACAAAAATTTTAACTTACTAAATAGTAACTTCCTAAACACCCACTATATATAATTCACAATTTTGATATAAATTCAAATTTTAGGCAGTTTAGTTAGTATTTTTTTTTTTGGTCTAAATTTAAATAAAAATTAACTTTAAAAACAAATTGAAAAAAAATCGAGACATACAAAGTTAAAATGACAAAAAAAGAAATTAAAAATTAAAAAATAAAAGTCAAAACAAATGATCAAATATAATTAGGATAAAGTGTAATTTATTCCAAAAAAGTAAAGGGCAAATTACATATACACCCCTCCAGGTTTGACAAAATTACAGATACCCCCTGAGGTTTGAGAAATTACGAATTCCCCCCTGAATGCTATATTTGCATAAGAAATTAGGGGGTAATTTGTTATGAAATATAAACCTCAGGGGGTAAATTGTTATGAAAATACAAACCTCAGGGGGCGGGATGTAATTTCCGAAACCTCAGGGGGGTATCTGTAATTTAACCAAACCTGGAGGGGTGTATATGTAATTTGCCCAAAAGTAAAATAAAAAAGAGAGACTCCCCTCAAATATGTATTTTGATTTCGTTTGAAGCTCTATATAAAGAGGAGTAGGGGTGAACATAATTCGAATTAGTTTAGAATTAGTTCAGTTTAGCAGTAAATCAAGACCAATTAATTACTTACGATTTTATTAAATTTGGAACCAAATCAATTCATGAAAATCTTAAAATCAATCCCAATCGAACCACTAAATAACGGTTTGGTTGGATTAGAAAACGCGACTTTTAAAAATATTATTATTTATAATATGATTACAAAATAATATTCAAAATCTAATAATTGTTTACATAATTATTTAAAACTAGTTCTATCACTACACAAAAATATACTTACAATAATAAAGAGTCATAATTTTTATATATATTTGATATTAATAAAATATTTTAATATTTTTATTCGATAACAAATTATATAGATAATTTAAATGATCCGGATCGGTTCTAATTGAATTCATAACTATAAAATCACGGAGCAAATTGTAAAATATAATTTACCTATTTCAAAAGGAAAAATCGAAATGTATATTAAGAAAATCATATCAAATTATGCGATTTGATCTAAACCGAGCCGATTTATAATTTTTTCAGTTTTTATACTCAACCTTGGGAGGAGATACTGTGGTAAATTTTTAATAATTTGAGGGGTGAGTTGTAAATAAAGAATTATTATATAACCGAGGTGAAAAAAGCAGATATTCTCTTTTTGTCGTTATAACGTTTGTTTAAATTTAGAGGGGCGGCATTATCTAATCATTCCCTGACCTCCGGCCTCCCCTGCATTGCCGTTACAATCTCTCATTAATTTTTTTTAATCGTAATTATTAATTAAGTAATGCTCGGTTTGAGTTATTCTTTGAAAAAATTATTACACGCATGAAATTGTCTATGTTGTATTATTGGTCAATGAAAAATTATTTACATGTTGCACTATCAACTAATAAAAAATCTTGATATATATTAAATGAGTTATTTTTTTTATTTTTTAATTATTTAATAAAATTGAATTAATATGTTATATTGATAAAAAAATTTCACTTCATAACTTATTTGGAATACTATGTAGAAAGCGGATGTATCTGAGAGAGAGAGAGAGAAAAGGGAGAAGGGGATAAAGTTAGGATAATTAAGGGTTCTACAGTGGTGGAGGGCTATGAAGTGAGGGCCGATAGGGATAGATCACATAGGTAGTCATTATGTCAAAACAGAGCATTAACGGCGATTTTTTTAACGGCGGTAACGAAAACCGTCGTTAAAGGTATCATTAATGGCGATTTTGTTACCGCCGTTAATGTCCACTTTTAATGACGGTAACAAAACCGCCGTTAATGCCCAATCATTATCGCCGTTAATGACGGCGGTCTTTGCCGGCGAAACTCCGGCGTGCTCCGGCGAAACCATCTACAATAAAGTAAAAGTAATGTTTAAATATTTATTTAGGGAATATATTTCATGAAGAGTGGCTATGGTAGAGTGGTTAGTGTGGGTGGATGAGAGGTTGAGGGTTCAAGATTTGGGGAGTGCAAGAAGAAAGAATTATTTTTTGAAAAATTTGAACCTATACACGGGGGGATAAAGTTAGGATAATTAAGGGTTCTACAGTGGTGGAGGGCTATGAAGTGAGGGCCGATAGGGATAGATCACATAGGTAGTCATTACGTCAAAACAGGGCATTAACGGCGATTTTTTTAACGGCGGTAACGAAAACCGTCGTTAAAGGTATCATTAATAGCGATTTTGTTACCGCCGTTAAAAAAACCGCCGTTAATGCCCACTTTTAATGACGGTAACAAAACCGTCGCTAATGCCCAATCATTATCGCCGTTAATGACGGCGGTCTTTGCCGGCGAAACTCCGGCGTGCTCCGGTGAAACTCCGGCGAAACCATCTACAATAAAGTAAAAGTAATGTTTAAATATTTATTTAGGGAATATATTTCATGAAGAGTGGCTGTGGTAGAGTGGTTAGTGTGGGTGGATGAGAGGTTGAGGGTTCAAGACTTGGGGAGTGCAAGAAGAAAGAATTATTTTTTGAAAAATTTGAACCTATTTACGGCGGTAAAAAACCGCCGTTTTTGGTCCTATGTTACCGCCGTTTTTGGTCGACTTTTAACGACGGTAATTTATCTTTTTACGACGGTTGTATTTTTTCCAACACGAGCATAAACGGCGGTAACAAAACCGCCGTTAATACCGCCGTTAAAGGCTTTAACGGTAGCCCAATTTTGGCGTAGTGAGTGAAGGCCGACGGTGGAATTAGGGTTGGTGGATGGTGATTGTGTAAGGGGCAAAATAAAAATTAAGATTTGAGAGGTAGGGAACTAAGCAAAAATAAATTTTTATGATGGATTTAAAGGAGAATTTTGGAGTGCTAATAACAACACCCAACACAAAAATTTGAAAATAACATTTTTCATTCTATTTTTACCCTCCATCTCTCTTTTATTTCCCTATCTCTCTTTTAATCGTCCCTCTACTTGCCCACTATCATCCACCTCTTCTCCAACCTCTCTCAATGCAGCCCACCATCTCCTTACCTCCACAACTCTCGGGTGATTATTCAGTATTTTCGAAGTATGGACACATGGTGCTCCATAAGGTTTTGATTGGTAGAGAGACACAAGGACCTATGATTTATGTTGGAAATAGGGGGGACAACATGAGGCTAACTAATTGGTGATTGGTTTAGAATATAGACAAGTGATGCTCCGG